ATAGAACAGAGATATAGCATTATAATTCTGTGCAGGTATTACTATGAAATCAACAGTTTGTATGACAGTGTCCTGACTCTGACTTTAAAAATATGAAGGTTTTTTTTTTCTACAATGTTTTTTGGCATTTTTAAACAATGCAGTTGAAATATTAAAGTTGGTCTTTTTCTAATGTCTATTTGTCATACCTATTGTCATTTATGAAATGGTTTGGACTACATAAACCAATTTTGCCAGTTCAGCCAGATATTCATATAGTGCTCTAAAGGAGCATGAAGTATTTTGTCTATTTTTTTTATTCTTCTTTTATTGGTACATTTTAGGTATACAATATGTTTACATTTATCATCGGGTGCTTGTACCTGTGCATGATGTTTCTTAGGTCTTATTTTTTCCCCATTACCTGTGCGCCCTTCACCCCCTTCACCCTTCCCTAATTACATAGACATCATTTCCATGCAGATGAAAATAACACTGAGATTCCACCTCACCCCAGAAAGAATGGCTGCTATCAAGAAATCAACCAATAACAAATGCTGGCGGGGGTGTGGAGAGAAAGGAACCCCTCTCCATTGTTGGTGGGAGGGCAGACTGGTGCAACCACTGTGGAAGTCAGTATGGAGATAGCTCAAAGAACTAGGGCTAGAGGTCCCATTTGATCCAGCTATTCCCCTGCTGGGTATCTTCCCCAAAGAATTAAAAGAATCATACCACAGTGATATATGTCCACCCATGTTTATAGCGGCACAGTTTGTAATAGCTAAAGCTTGGAAGCAGCCCAAGTGCCCATCAACTGGAAACTGGGTAAAGAAGATATGTTTTTTTTAATAAAATGGAGTACTACTCAGCCATAACGAATGAGAAACTAGAGACATTTATAGCTAAATGGATGCATATTGAGGCCATACCCTTATGTGAAATAAATAGGACACACATGTGTAAATACTGAATAGTTTCTCTAATGTGAGAAACTGAAAGTGTAAATAAAGATTAAAATGATTATAATGAATGATTGATAATTTGAAATAGGAAAAAAGTCCAAAGAGGTAGGGGTGAAGGGAGGGGAAGGGGAAAGGAAAGAAGGGAAAGGAAAAAATATGAGTCTCGCTAATAACTATTATTAACACAATAATAACTGTGACTACTTATTGATTGATCCTACCTGCCAGGTAGCCACAGTGTGAGCATTTCACACATTTCTCATTTAACCTCAACACAGCTCCTGGGACTGGAATACATGGTTTCATTTTATACCCAAGGAAATTCAAGCACAGAGGAGTTAATGAGTTGTCAGTGTGTGTCCAGTAAGTACAACAGGGCCGACACATTTCTTTCTTCATATCCTTTCTTCCCTTTCCTTATTAGCAGAATCTTGCTTTTATTTAGGATGGTGAAGTTCTAATGAAAAGGCTGAATTTTCCAGTCTTCCTTATGACTAAGTTTTGGCCAACTGGATCTAGTAAGTTTTTTAGTAAAACTTCAAAAAAAAATTTTAAGTGGTAAACAGCAACTATGGCTCATTTTCCCCATTCCTCCAGCTTCTTTCCTTAAGCACAGTGCTGAAGGTTGGAGTTTCAGCAGCCACTTTGGACTATTTGACATTTTTTATGGTTGGTGACATGGGCTACCAAGGGCAGACCAAAAATAGAGAAAAAGCAAAGGTACTTGTTATCGGCCAGCTAGCAATGGAATACATTGGAAATATTTTTGTACAAGAGAAAATAAAATTTAATATTATTTAATGACTGTTATTTTTCATCTCCATTAGCAGCCAAGTATAGTTCCTGATACAGCCAACTTTAGTAGAGGGCAAAGTCCAAGTCCCATCCCATACCTCCCATAAGCCAACTTCTGTGTTTATCACTGTCTTAGTTACTTTTTCCTTGCCGAGACACACTACCTGACACCCACAACTCTAAGGAGGTGAGGTTTATTTTGGCTCACAGTTTGTAGGGTTTCAGTCCATAGTCAGCTGGTTCCAAGGCAAGGTGGCATGGCAGAGGAGAAACAGTCCACAGCAGGGCAGCAGAGAGCAGAAAGAGATCAAGGGAGAAGGGCAGGAGGTGGACCCTTCTGGGCCACACCCACAGAGAGCCACCTCTTCCCACCAGGCTTCATCTCCTAACACCATATTTAGTTATAAACTCATCAGTGGACTAAGCCACCAATGAGTTGATCACACCTGCATGGTTCAATCACCTCCCCAAAGTCCTATCTATGAGCCCATGAGGCTTTGGGAAACATCTAGATATAAACCATAACAATTATTATACTACTTTTAAAATATAAGCACTGTGAATGCTGGAATTTACATTCTCAATCATAATTGTGATTACATAATAAGTACTCAATAAGTAATGTGCTGTTATGATCATTACTTTATTGTAACTAGTATTTATTGAGTGATTACAAGTGTCAAGCTCTATACAAAGTGCTTCTATATATTTATTTCTCATTTAATCTCTACAGCATTGTCAAACATCACCATTTCCAGATGAAGAAATTGAGGTTCACTGAATTGAAGTAATTTGTTCCACATCTCAAAAACATGAAATTTGATTTTGAAATGGTAGGGAGGGGATTCAGGTCTGTGGTATCATACCACTTCATCTATATCTCAGTGTTGATCTCAAGTTTGATTCCATAAGCACTTGATCAGTTAGCCCATAATAATAAAACGAAGGGTTTTAATATGTCAGAATCAGAAATCAGATATATATATATATATATATAATGATTCAATAATTTCTGAATACATTGAAAGGCCTAGAAAAGAAAAAGACCATCTCATTATTTTAATGACTTAAAAGGTGGAACTATTATGACATGACTGCAGGCTTCACCAGATCCTGACATTTAAAATAATATTTATAAAAGTTTTACTGCATTTGTTGCTATAATTAGGCTGTTATATTCATGAGTTTCTATAGAAAACATTCCTAAGTCTCAAAAGTAAATAGGCCAATGATAGGTATTTCCATTCTGTCAGAGGAGAGCTGGTAAATCTAACCAGAAAAGCTGAAACTATGAAGTTTAAAATTTTTAACAGGATGAAACTGGGCAAAAACAATTTCCTATGTTATTAAAATTTTAAAAAATCCTTCTAATGCTGTCATGAGCAGAAGTAGCAACCATTCAAGTTCTATGGCACATCTATTGAAGGAAGTAAGCATACTTCAGGGAGCATGTTTTAAAACCATGGAGTGGTAGATGATTCTGCTTAGTCACATTGTGTGAGATTAAATCGTGTGGTGTGTTGTCTGCATTGCTATAAGTTAGAGAGATCCTATGCATGTCTTTCAAACTAATACTTTCAAAATCAAGGTCTCATACTATATATCCCAAATGGGGTGAAACCTACTTTTACATTAACTGTGGATGCCTCCATGTTTGGTTGAAGTACTCAAGCTTCATAGACATACAGAACTAAGCTATAAGTCTAATGGACATTTAATAGCTGTTGGTTATCAGTCAAGTCATTGATTCTGTGCTTCAGTTTTCCCAGGTGTACAGCAAGACAATTAACTGAATGATGTATATATTAACTCAAGAGTATTGGTGCTCAGCAATAACCAAGAGCATACAGAAAAGTGCTGTGCTCTGATCCTGGTGCATAACCGACACCCAAGGGTTGCTCTCACCCCACAATCATAATCTTCCAAGAAAGCCATTCCCAAGAGCCTGGATACACTTTCAGCTCATTGGTAACAACAGAGGCCGAACCAAGTCTGCAAGTCTGAGCTACAGTAAAATCACAGGATGAGCTCCACTTGGTCGGTGCAGAGCCTTCTCGGACAAGAAAACATGGCTACGTTGTGGGAAGCACTTGACACTAGCCAATTCTTCCGGTAGATTCTGTTGATAGAAAAGCGTGTGAGGTTATTGCAGACCAGGATGGCCAATTACACACAAACATGCTGGTTCTGCAGCTGCTGTCCACAGGTAGGGTTGCAGCAGCTCTTCTTAGCAGAGTTGTCTCCCCTTGCCTGCTGCCCCTGGTCCAATTGTAAACTGTCTCTGACAGCCCAGGGCTGTTCTCTGGAAATAATAACTTGACTTCTATACACACCCACAGAACACTAGAAAGGACACAGCTAATTTTTACAATTAGACTTTGTAGGTCAGGTGGGGGATGTTCAAGTTTTGATGGGCTCTCGCTCCTTCCTCCAAAATGACCAGAATTCTTTGCTAGACAGAGATGCAGCAGCTGACAGGTTACTGTTACTATTTTCTATTTCTAAGTTATTTTTTATCTATTTTTATTATTTTAATTGTACAAGTTTATCAGGCACAGTGTGAAAATTCCACACATGTATATATGTATATATGTATCTAGCATGTAATAACAAAATCAGAATAGTCAACATTTCCATCTAAAATATTTAAAAAATTTTAACACATAATGATTGCACATATTTTGGTGGTACATACATGTTATATTTAATACATGTATAAAGCATGTATGAATAAAATCAGAACATGTTATTATTTTCTTTGCCCACCCCCCTTCCTGTTAAGGATCATCTAATGTATTTTCTATACTTTTAATGCCTATGTAGGTCACAATGAGCTTTAATGTACCTTGTTGCACTTCATCCCTACCTTAACTCTGAGCAGATACTATTTACTCCACTTTAGAGGCATGGATCAGGGGCTGGATGATTTGTCCAAGTTCATACAACTAAACAGAGCCTGACTTCACTACTTTTCTTCTTCCAAATCTAGTACTTTTAAAAATTCCAACTCAATGCATTATCTCTTCAGGTGTGAAAGAATAACTTACTTGGCCTTCAAAACTATAGAAAAATGCACTCTGGTATGAAAAATCCTACCATAATTATGCAAAAATAACTCAGAGTGAAACTTTCCTCGAACGAGCTTAGAAAGTACTGTACAGTGCTCTCAATGGGAGATTTTACTGGGAACATAGCCTAAGCTACCATTTTCCCTTGACTAAATCGATTCTAAAAGTTCACCGATCCCTTTATCTCTCTCTCCAGTGAACAGAACGATGGGCTCAAATCCACTCACCTGGCTGCTCTGTGAAGTTCTCTGCCTATAAGCCCAGCTGAAGGTGTCCTTGGTGTGACCTTCAGCCCTGGTATGTCAACTTCATGGGACTAGCAGATTAGTCAGCCCACTCCAGGGTGTCTGCATGGTCATGGAGGGTAGCCTTGGGGACTTCCAGTGGTCCCTGGCCCTTCCTCTCTGGCACTGTTCCCTGCTCTGCTTCCGGGCCACCATGAGCTGAGCAGCTGTGCTCCTCCGTGCCCTTCCACCGTGATGTCACTGGCTTGGAGTCAGAGGGTGTCAGGCAGAAAATGTGGGCCAGTTAAATAAAACTTTGTGCGGGGCTGAGTGCTTTCCCGTGCTGGGAAAGCTGGCTAATACTTGGCCTCTCGTTCCAGGTTAATTTTCCCCATTACTGTAGACCTCTGAATCTTTCCTAAGCAGCACTCTCCTAAGCTGGTGGGAATATATTGTCAGCACGCCTCTTTAGTCCATGGGGGTAGGGGGGGACGCTGATTTTACTCACTTCTGCCATCCCAGCCACTGTCACTCTATCTGGCCCACAGTAAATACTTAGTACAGATATTACAGGTTTATAAATAATGACTGACTGAAGAGTTCATGAATAAATTATCTATTTCTGAGCAACTCTTAATTTTTCCCAATGGTACTTCAAGTTAATTTTTTGTTTTTGTTTGTTTTAGTCCATATTCTTAAGAGTAGATATTTGTATTCCTGGAATCAGTTCAAAGATAACTTAGAGATACATTTATCAAAGGCTTCTTATTTCACAATGAAGGCAGAGAAGTGAAAAGATTTGCCCGGGTCATAACCAGGGTACAATGGTGTTTAGAACCAGGTCTGGATCAAAGGTTTTTGCTGGTAGTTTGGGTGTGGCTTTGAGCATGTCACCCAAGGGTCCTTGCACTGGAAAGCTTGGTCCCTAACACTGCAATATTAAGAGGTGGTGGAACATCTGAGGTGTAGGGAGCCTCCTCAGAGGTTGTTAGGTCATTCAGGGTTTGCTGGCTGAGCTTGAAGCTGAGGAGGCTGGGACAATGCTGCTCCTCACTGGTACCTTAGCATCACCTCAGCCAGATTGAAGGGAGGAGGCGCTTGGAGGGCCACCATTCTCATAGCAATGCAAAGGAGCAAGAATACAAGAGGAAACATGGGAGCCTTTTAAGGCCAGCCTCAGAACGGGGGTGCTTTCACGTCTTAGGTCACCTGTCAGAGAAAGTCACATGTACACCCCAAAGCAAAGACAAAGGGAAATGTATTCTGCTAGGGAAGAAGCCATGCTAAGGCTGTAGATGTTTAGAATTGGCTAATTATTCAAGGGTCCCAGTGACTGTATTCATTTTCTGTGGCTGCCATAGAAAAGTACCACAAGCTAAATGGCTTAATACAACCAAGATTTAGTCTCTCACAGTCCTGGAAACTAGAGATCTGCAAGTGAGGCATTAGGCAGGCCACACTTCTCCTGCAGGCTCTTGGGAAAGAACCCTCCCATCCACCTCAGTGATTGCTGCCCATCCTTGGTCCTCATAGGCTTGTAGCTACAGCTCTCCAAAGTCTGCTCTCATCTCTCTCTCAGCTTCCTGCCAAGGTAGCCTTTTTCCCATGAGTGTGTCTGTCTCCAAGACTTCCTTAGAAGGGTACCAATCATTGGATTTATGGTGCACCCTAATCCATATGACCTCATCCAAACTTGACTACACCTGCGAAGACTCCTGTCTGCAATAAGGTCATAGTCACAGACGCTGGGGGTTAATAATGCCACCTGTCCTTTGGGGAGACACAGTTCAACCCATGACAGACCAGAATCCGATACCAGCCTTTATAAACCACAGTATCAATTTTCAAAGTTTGGGTCCTGGACCCACCCCAGTCCACATCAATACCAGGTTAGAAATTAAAATTCTTGGCTCCCACTGTGGACACTTCAGGAGTTAGGACCAGAAATGTGTGATATAACAAGTCCTGTGGAAGAGTTTAATTTGTGCTCTAATTTGAGAGTCATTGCTATAGATGACAGCAGAACTGAGGCTTTGCAAAGGCGTAGATTTAGCCATGTTCTCAAGGAGTAAGACGTGAGTGTGTGTGTGTGTGTGTGTGTGTGTGTGTGTGTGTGTGTGATTAGGGTAGAGGAGCACAGGTGAAGACATCTGGTAGATAGTAAAAAGGAAAGGCAAAGGAAATACTTACAAAGGTGCAGGTGCTAGATGCACAGTAGGTTTACTGTAGGATTCACTGAGGAATATGAATAACCTGAAGAATATGTGGAATAGGAATAATCCAGGACCCACTTAACTCATGGATCAGTGGAGCTGATGAAACACTGTCCTCGCACCCAGAAGTCTTCACAATGCATTTTCATTTTTGTGGGTATGAGGAAGATGATGGGGCAATGAGTCTGGTGTGAGTGACACTGGGTAGAAAAAAATGAGAAAACCTAGGCAAGATGCTTTGGAATGTTCTGTACACTTGTGGAAATTGCTATCACCAAAGACCTATTGAGTCCAGAGTTCTGTCCTCACCAGTTCTGGGAAAGAATGACCCTGTGCCGAGCTAAGGAAGAGAAGGTCCCCAAACCGAGTACAGCTTTTCAGGCCTGTGACACAGGAAACCAGTTTACTCACATCTAATGCACAGCTAAATTTAACAGGCATAATTTAAATGGGATTAGAGTCTCAAGTTAAAATTGTAGTGTAAAAATCAGAAATGGCCAGTCTTGCACTCAAAAATGCTTGAAATTGCCCATGAAGGATGGAAATGAACTGTGATTTTATGTATACAACTTTGTAGACTAATTTCCTCCTATGCCTAAATTAGAGAGCTGGGAAAAAGACTACAAGGAAAACCTTTATGCAAATGTATGTGTTTAAAAAATTCCTCCTTAAAAATGATAAAGTGCTAGTTCTGAATGGGGTAGGGATAGACAATTCTAGCTCTTTTCTTTTGGACACAAATGTCTTAATAAGCTGTTTAGTTTTATGAGGATTAAATGAGAAAATTAAAACTCCATCTTAGAGTGGAGGTAGGTTTCTAAGTATATGGGGATTTTGCTCAATAGATTTAGCCTACTATATGAATCAAGTGCATATTTAGTGATTACGATGTGCTAGAAACTCTTCTAAGTGCTTTAGGAACATTCAAGTCTTCTGACACTAGAGATCATGTGCTCAACCACCACGCTATCCTGCCTTTCTAAGTTTTCACATTTTATTTCCACCAGATGGTGTTTTGGAGAGTGGCAGACCAAAGCCAGAGCACGGAGCTGGACCCATTGATAGCAAGAGTGGCCTACGACTCCCTAGTGTACTTCTCCTCCTTAAACTGGGTAAGTCCTATAGAAAAGACCTCAGCAGCCTTCTCTTTTAAGAAGGTTGTGTGTTTTCTTGTTCCCCGTGGGGCAGGAAAAAAAAAAACTATATATCATGCTGCTGCAAAAAGAAGCTTGGAGTTGAGCTTTGGTGATTAGAGGTGAGGTGAGTCTGCCCATCAGTGGGCAGGAAGTACGTCTGGGAGAATGCATGCAGTCAGGGCAGGCACAGGCTGCTCAGGTGTGGATAACAGATCGCTGTCCTTATAAACCTGCAGGTGTGCTCGAGGGCTCAATCCTAAGGTCTGCAGATGCAAAGGAGTAAAAGTAAAAGGGGACATGGGAGACGATTTGGGTTGCACGTGGGAGAGAAAGAACACAGGGCCCACGATGTGCCTGGTGAGCCGAGGCCAGCATCAGCAGTGCAACACTGTGAAAGCCTTTCCTGGCTGGGGGTGACTGAGTGTGAAATGAGGCTTTGGAAAGCATATTTCTGTGATACCTGTTTTACTCAGGGCTCCTGAGGGCTGGAAATAGGAATCTGATGGGGTAGTAGAAGTTATGGGCTAAGTTTTGCCCCCTCGGTTTTAACTGGGAATGAAGTATTCTGTTAGGTGTTGTCAGTGATTCAGGGTGTGTTCTTTAACGTCACATCATTCTCGTATGCATTGTTATACAACTCTTCCATGGGCTCCTTGGCTCCTTCATCTCACTGATTCCCTGGGGCAGTTTCAGGAAAAAGAGAGTGATATGCAACCACAAAGACACTCCAAGACCCTGGTTCCTAATGCATTCTGCCTTATATGTACTCCATTAGCGATGCCAACTTAAAGATGCAGTGATGAAATAGAAGTTCCTCAGATCCTGGAAACATAGAATTAAGTGTAAAATGTGCCTCTCACTGTGGTATTATACTAGCAGAGCAAATTAAAACAAAATAAATAATATCTCTGGTCATGATTTTCTCATCTGTAACATGGACAATACTCCATCCTTTACAGAGTCTTTTTGAGGAAAATTATGTACATATATATGTGCACATATATGGATCATATTTATATATACAAATATCAATGAAGTCAAAAGTTAGAAGCTGAAATAATGAATATTTCTCATCTCTACAATTTCTGTTGCTGGAAGCATTTGAGAGCAGATGATCCAGGTGGTTCTAGCTTGGGGCTTCCATGAGGCTACAGGCGGGATGCCTGCCAGGGCTGCATCCATCTGAGGAAGCTTGGGGTTGGGGCATCCACTCCAAGCTGGCTCTACACACTTAAGAGTTAGTGCGGGCTGTTGGCAGGAGACCTTGTCGCCTCCCAACATGGACCTCATCATGAGACACCAGACTGACCTCACGAAGTGACAGCTGGCTTGCCTAGAGGGCGACTCCAAGGAAAAAGAGGGGGAGCCACATGCCTACTTGCTAGAAGCCAGACTCCAAGTCTATCCCACTCCCCAGGTGAGGCAGATGGGGCTCTGCTTTGGGAAGACATTGTCTTAGCATGGACCTATTTTGAACTTCTACAAGAAGGTACAAGAGGTAACATGCTTAAAATTTTGTGATAGATTTTAGAGTCCAGTAAATGAAAGTAATTATTATTTGAAAGCTTAAATATTACCCTGTTCTACTCTATGTCCTTAGTACTCATCATGGTGCTTGGCATACCCCAGGCCTCTTAAATAATGAGCTCAGTGAACTGAATTGTTTACCTTTTATAAGGTGTTGTGCTAAGCATTCAGGGTGTGATATCACATTTAATCTTCACAATGACCCTGGAAAATGGGTGCCAGTCTATTATTGTCCTCATTTTATGGATGAAAAATTTCAGAGAGGGAAACTAAAGTATGCATAGAGAAGTTAAACTGTTGGTTGGATGTTAACATTTGGAGGGTTTTATAGTTTGGGTGGGTTTTTGTTTATTTTTGTTTTGTTTTGCAATACAGTAGATTGAACCCAGGGCCTTGGCAGTAAGTGCATCCCCAGACCTTTTGTGTATATTTTTCATTTTGAGGTAGTACCTCACTAAGATGTCCAGCTTGGGCTCAAACTTGTGATCCTCCTGCCCCAGCTTCCCAGAGCAGGGATTACAGGTGTGCACTGCCACACCCAGCTCATGTGGAGGGTTTTGATGGAAGCAGAAATTGGTCTCAAGTCTTCTGCTCTAGAATGCAGTTTTTAGCTATCTCATTATGGTCTGTCACCAGTGGAGGCCTCCAGAATTACTCATGTGAAATACTTCTGCCTCTGAATAATGCTTGAATTGCGAAGTCTTTATTTTTTCTTTCAGATCTAGATTTCCCTAAACATTCCCAATCACAATTTCCCAATGTTGAAAGACAGGATTCCTTTGTTTGTACTCCTCTTTGTCCACCATTCAGTTAAAACAACAACAATACAGCCTTTCTAGATTCTCATTTTGGATTTTAGATTTAGGTCCTATGGCTACATCAAAGTTTGAAAGCCACCAAATTAGATTTTCCCACATGTCATTTTGTGCTCTGAAGTCCTTTGATTACACAAGCCCTCTGCCTCCCTGTTCCCCCCGCCCCCCCCCATCATTACAGAGCTTGGGGAACAAGTTGGTCAGCTCCATCTGAAACAGTGGCTCTCTTGACTTTCCTGTCAGCCACTGTCCTCATTCTCTACCTGATAAGGACTGAGATTGAAGCACTGGAGCTGTTGCTCTAACGGGGCCACATCTCTCGTCATTCTCTCTTCCAATCATCTTATGTACAATGGCCACATAAATCTTCACGAATGTGTTCTTTGGCTCTGTCACTCTATTGCTAAAATAAGACCTTCAAATGGCTACATTACTTTCCCGAGTGGAGGTGCCACAGGTCTAGTATATATCACTAGGTAGTTTTGGCAAAGAACAATCTATAAAAAGTTGTTTTCTTTACTAATAGAATTTCCTGAAGACTTTGATATGCTAATGTGCAATGAGACTCTTTCTGAGGGAGGGAGGAAGAGGTGCTAAGACCCAGAGGTTTTCTCTCTGCACGTTTCAGATCACAGAGATGTTTGCTATCACCATGCCCCTCTCTAACACATTTCCCCTGGTGATGAGTCCTCTACTCATTGTAATTCACCCTAACATGTGAAAGTCCGGAAATTCATCCCTTGATAGGCTGTGGCTTTGTCCTCTTTTAGCATCAACTTCAGCCTCCCCAGACCCTCTGTTTAGAGAGTATCAAAATATCTCCTTCTGCTGAGAGAGAGAGAGAGAGAGAGAGAGAGAGAGAGAGAGAGAGAGAAAGAGAGAGATTGAGATCAGTTTCTTTACTGAAGGGCTGGGTGTTTTAAGAGAGCATTAACCCACAGGATGGAAAATGATAAAGCCACAAACTAACATAATTTCTTCAGGGTCCAAAAACTGTGTCTGTGTGTCTGTCTGACTGTGACAAGTAAGAAGTCAACCCTTCACTGGGTGGGTCTTCTCTGAGCACATCCACTTGCAAACCTGACTTCCCTATTCCAGCTTTTGTGCCTTGGTCTGAGACAACCTTATCTTCTAGATTCCCCAGTGAAATTCCATTCATTCATTCATTCTGGAAAAGCTCAACACCTACACACTGGGTCATTCCAATACCATCATGACTCCCCTCATTGAGATGCCCTCCAAGGCCAGGTCTTTGAGTCCTTTGTATCATCCTGTGAATTTGATTTGGACTCCTTTTTATACCCCAAGCCCTGGAGAGTCGCACCAGAGGAACAGTCTTGGTGATGCCAGCCGTGAAATGTCTTTAGGTGTCTCCAAGGCAGACCTCTTTGGAAGTTACCCTACAGTTGTACTATTTGACTGGTTATTCTAAAGATATTTTAACCCTTAGGGAGAGCACAGTCTTTCTAAACCTTAATGAAAAGCAAAGTATTTTCTAACTGCTTTGTAATTTGCAAGATAACTTTTTCTTCTTTTGAAGGCAGAGAATTTCATTATTATGCAGAGTAATATTATATTCCTTTGGTGCTTTTAGCTTATATCACCTGAAGAAAAAGAAAGGAGCCATATGCTTCCAAAATATGGTTTCCTTAGTCCTGTAAAGAGAGTATTTGAAGGACCGTTGAAGCAAGCAAGCAGTCAGGTGCTAGAAATAGAAACATGAGTAACACAAGTTTCCTGCGGTCCTCTGAGAGTTTGCCTTAACCATTTACTCATTCATATATACATGTCTCAAACACTTCCAGAGCATGTGCTATGTGCCAGAGGCTGTGTTGGATGGTGAGGTGTGTGTTAGACTAAATTCCCTGGAAACAGACTCAGAGACCGGAAACAATTATATGCAGAAGGTTATTGGGAAATATCCTTGGGACATACGACTCAAAGAAAGTAAGGCAATAGGATTGGGCAGGGCGAGAAGTGATGCACAACACAATTGCAACCAAGGCTTAATGCAGTCCTACCAGGAGCTCTGGAGCCGGGATGGCCCTTTAGCTAGCACTGTCCCAAAGAGGCAAGGACACCAGGCCTGTGTGTGCACATGTCTCCTGGTCATTAGCAGCCCATCGTCCCTGAAAGGGGCTGTGACTTTGGCCAAGGTAGTGTTTTGCAATCTAGGGCAAGGCTGAAGGAAGGGCGGGGCTTTGAGCTGTTAGCTCTTCTTAGTACTGCACTAGCTGAGAGATGCGAAGAAGTCTGTGGGAGGACACAACACCCACTACTGGGACAAAGGAACAGGGACAAGGGTCATGGGTGCCCTGGGGAGCTGACAGTGATATAGGGGATTGGGGCATGGCAAAGCAGCTGGGTAACTGGGCAGACTCGTCAGTTGTAGAGACTCATTCATCTGATACCAGTCAAGAAACACAGTCTTTGGTTCTTCTGCATGGGATCCTCAAGAGATCGGTCTGAGCCCTCTACCTGGCACCAATCCTCTGGCACGAGATCCAGCTGTTTTCTCATGGGACAGCCTAGCGCTGAGGTCACAAAGAGGATGTAAAAGCCCGTGGCCACTGTCAGCCCTTCCACCACTGTCTTGCGCTATGCAGGGTGTACTTCCTGTCGTATTTTAGCCGG